TGTGGTAAGAGCAGAGAGCCCAATGTGCGGCTCGAACCCACAAACCATGAGATCGTGACCTGAGCTGAAGTCGGACGCTCGCCAACTGAGCCACCCAGGCACCCCGCTAGTCCTAGCTTTTTAAAGTGTATTTTTAAGAACATCAGCAATCAACACTCCCAGGCTACCTTTGGTGTTTCTTCACCTTAAACTAGGCCCAGCGCCCCCTGTCCGGTAGGGTTCTCGTGCAGTGTAGGTAAGACAAGCGCTCAGACCTTCGGGCAAGGGGAAGATACCCCGAGAGGAGAGAACGCTCCATCAGAGCGCAGGGCCAGGGATGAATGGACACCTAGGCTTACCTTTTGAGGAAATCCTCCTCCACCCCCGAGGGCTGACGGCCACCACCATACTCAGACCTGGGCGGTTTGGAGTCTGCAAAGGGATAAGAAAAGGCCAGTCAGCAGCTCCTCGGGATCAACAAAGGCATGGCAGTCACCTGGGAGAGGGCTCAGGAGGGCACCGCCCTGGATGGATACGCCTTACAGACACAGAACACACCCTTGACCCAGCCAGCCTGGAGAGGCACAGCCCGAAGGCCATCTGTTCCCTCGTTCTTACCAGGACTGCTCACTGCCTGGGGCGAGCAGCAGGCACAGCCACTTGAGTGCTGTGTTCCCAACCCATCTCTCCTCATTCTGCAATTACCTTGAATCTAGGTCATCTCCCAAACGCCGGCCCAGAAAGGCTGAGGGAACCCTCTCCTCTGCCTCATGCAGAAAGGCCAGCCACCCGCATCCTTTTGAGGGGAGGAGTGGGGCAGCTCCTTCAGTGTTTCCCTTAGTAGCCCATTCTACAGATCTCTAGTCTTAGAGTGGCAAACACCTCCACATTAATAACATTTTAATCTATCACTCCACCTGCATCACCTCTAATATTGTTAGAGGGGAGCTACCTCTTGACAGCCATGACCTTGGCAATTTCCAAGAAACCCAATCCACTCCACAGTTGCCACCACTTGGTGACACTGAAGGTTTTGTCACCCTTCCCTCTCCCCACCGCCTTCACCCTTCCCAAACCATCTTTCAGCCAAAGCTCAACACTTTCTGTGGCCTTGGCCACATGTCCCTCCCCTCCAACACAGGTTTCTAAAGCAGCAGAGTCTCAGGCTGCACAAGAAAACTGCGAAAGAACCAGGCTTTGGGAGAGAATCCATGAGGACTTGCTATCCCACTGCAAAGACCTGTTAAAAGCATGCTGAATTCAGAGGCTCCAGCACTCAACCCTTTGGGGAGGCACTTCCAAAAGTAATCACCCTATGCTTCACGCTTGCAGACCACCGCTCACAGAAGGGTGGGCATGGCTGTGCTCTGGCCAGTGCGGAGGACACACCCAAGTGCCTTGTGGTAACATGCCAGGCTCTCAAGTGGGAGTAAAAATTAGTAAACTGTTACCCGGTTTTTCCTTTGACATAAGGCTCCTGTTCTTATTTGTTTACTTACAGCAGCTTTTATTGACATGTAATTGATCATATTTACTTTTGCTTTCCATACAGTTTTCTCTTGTCGTAACTACAAAAATAACATATCTACCTATGGCAGAGAATGCGACACTGACCCACACTCCCACCTTCCACGCAGGCGCCTGTCCACTTCCCTGCCCCCTTGGTGGCACTATTTTACGTGTGTCTTTCACTATTAGCCAAGCGGAGAATCTCATCACATGTTTATGATGATTTGTGCACATTTTCTACTGAGTTGTCACAGATCTTTAAGAACTCTCAATATTAGGACTATTAATACTCTGTCGTGTGACAATTCCCTAGTTTATCATTCATTCTTCATTTATTTTTTCTAAGTTGCCTAATTGCTTATAGTTACACTTCCCACTTTTTGTCTCAACTCAGGGTTTCTTCACTTGACGAAGTGCTTAGAAAATCTACTTATTGTACTTGTATGTACTATTATTGTACTCTTATGGTTTCGATTCGTACATTTAAATCTTTTATTTCCTCTGACATTTATTCTGAGGTATGGTGTGACATAAGGATTTAATTTTAACTTTTCTCTAATCTTGTTCCATCGCTAAAATAAAAGCAAACACTGATTTTAAAAGTAAAAATATCTTAAAATTAGTCAACTTCAAGACAGCCCATTTATGCTGACTATTCTTCAGCACTCAGAAACTCAAACTCACAATCGTTTAAACAGTAAAATACTTTGTTACAACTAAAACCAAATGACAAATGAACCAACACTCTTGCTCCCTGAACTGCTAAAACCTACCAAAGACTAAAACCAAGGCCTCTTTTAGCTTCCGAAGTCGAAACTGACGTGTGCATGATACATTTTGGCATTCTTGGCTTCTTTCATCACTTTTTCCCTCTCCCCAGTTAATTCAGTTTATGAAAGTGTACTGGGTGGGGCGCCTGGGTGGCTCAGTCGGTGAAGAGTCCGACTTCCGCTCAGGTCATGATCTCATGGTTCATGAGTTCGAGCCCTGCATCAGGCTCTGTGCTGACAGCTCAGAGCCTGCTTCTGATTCTGTGTCTCCCTCTCTCTCTGCCCCTCCCCCACTCATGCTCTGTTTCTCAAAAGTAAATAAATGTTAAAAGAAAATTTTTTTAAGTGTACTGGGTTACAGCCCTCTTCAACCCCCTCTCTCACCAGCTGCTGTAGGTATCGGGGGAGCCACCCTTTTTGTTAAAGGAAAAGAGCATATCATGTGAGGGTTTCAAGAATCTCACTCACCCCTTCACTGATACTCAAAAAGATCTCAGGGCAGGTTCAGGAAGCCCTGAAGCAGACAATACGGGGAAGAGCTGGTAGAAGGCCTGGCCAGAGTCCCTGGCTGCAAGCATGCAGGCAGAGCTCTCTGGCCACTGCACAGAGGTCTGTGACCTGGCCCCTGAACACTGCCCAACAGCTCCCCTTTCCTCGCACTTTGTACTCCAGAGATAGCAAATCGCTTCAAGGGCCCCACACAGGCCAGGCTGTACCATACCTCTGGGCCTCTATTTATGCAGAGGCAAATACCTGAACCACTGCTCTATCTTTCAAAATCAGGTTTAAACATCATCTCCCCTTGAAGCCCCTCCCTAAAATAATGAGGCACGCCTCTGTGCTACCCTGGCCACAGGCATGCTTCTAGGACATCACAATACATGTACCCTACAGGGTTACACATCCAGCCCCCTCACTAGAGCCGTGAGCCGTAAGGGAGGCATCCCTGTGTACTCATCGCTGTGTGCCAGCACCGGGCACACGCGCCCTGATCCCCGGCCAGCAGTCAGCAAACGCTGAGTGGACAGGATACAGCTCCTGCCTTCTCCAATGTTACAACCTCATACGGAAGACTGGCAGAAAAGACAAGTTACAGGCGATACCTAAGACCCAGCTTCTCATAAACAAGTGTTTATGGGACAGAGCAGCAGCGGCCCCAAGGACTTTCCTTAGGGGTAATATCTTAGTATTTCTGCACCTTATATCCTTTCTGAAATTGTCACATTCCTTTGTTCGCTGAAAGTCATTCAGAGAAAAGCACAAATGTCCTCATCTGTTATGGGCCCCACAGAAGAGGGATAAATGAGCTCCAGCCAGTGTAGGCATGGGAAGAGAAACTCCTGAAATGGGCAGGCTGGCGGGCCCTTCCAAGAGGCCACAGTGACCCATCCCAGCAGCCGGGCCAAGGACCGCCTCACGTGAGGGCTTGCTTCGAGACGCTGAGGCCAATGCCCAAGTCATGGCCTCAGTTCCCCCACGCTGCCCCGATTCCCATAAATCCCTGTCATTCTTTGAACCACGCCAAACAGTAACGGCAAAGCTTCTCTCGGGTCCTCAACAGCGACTTCTTACCTGCATTGCCGAACCAAGCCCTTCGGCCTCATTTGTCACTCATTGAGAAACTGGAACAGTGAGGCAAGCTGGTCTGGCCCCAGGCACACGTGCTCTGAGCAAAGGTGCTGTCATGCGTAGAAAGCCACACTCTCCCGAAAAGCAGTTACCAGAAACGTCACCCAGAGACAAACGGGAGCCACACTGGCTGTCAAATCTGTTCTGACAGGAAGGCTACTTGCCACCGCTTCCCCACCCCACCCCCGTCCCCCAGAGTCCTTGCAACCATCCATACCTTTCTCGGGGCCTTTGGAGGAGCCACCTGTAGAAGGCGTAGAAGGCGGAGGGGCAGGAGGCGGAGCTGGCTCCCCAGCTTTGCAAGGCTGGTTGGGATCCTTCATGCGGTTAACCACATTCTCGGACAGCTGGGAGAAGAGGTGAGGATGGGAAGAGAGGGACAGGGAAAAAGTTACATCATAGAAACCTCTGGAAATGCAGACTGCCCTTCATCCATGCCCCTGAGCGCACCACTTCCTCCAGACCAACTTCAATAACATAATCCTCCTCAAAACCTCTCAAGGTGGCCCAATGCTTCGCAGGTTGGTGCCAAAGCCCCGTGTGGGCCGCCCAGCGCACGTCCTCTGCCGGCTTTCCAGCTTTGTTTCCTGCTGCTCCCTGCACACACCCTGCACGCCACGGGGCCACCTTCCTCACCTCCTCTGCATTCATTGTGCGGCTCCTCTGCCCAGAACCACCAGCAGCGGTCCATCCCCAGTACGTCTTCACCTGTCCAAAATTTCCCCTTCCTTTGAGGGCATCTCAGTGTCCCTCCTCCATGGGACCTTGCCTGACAGCACCCAAGATAAGCATCCATTGTCCCCTTCCGTTTTACTCCCATCACAACACGTGTGCTCTTAGGGAAGCACCGCAGGCCCTACCTGCCTCATCCAAAAGATGTGCAAACACCTGGAGGGCCGGGGCGACCTCCCACCCACCCCCCCCCCGCCCCCGTGTACCCCCGGCACCACACATGGAGCATACATCGCAACCCAGCTGGACCCCTTCCACCACGGCTCCCACTAAATGAAGACTGGATAACCGACACTTTCATTCATTTCACAGGAAGTGAAATAGGCATGAGGGTGTCATAAAACAGTTTACTGAAATGAAACAGCAAACTAGGGATAAATCCAGAATAAAAACCCTTTAGAGTTCACTTCAGTAAATATTTATTAAGTACCTAATATGTGTAAGGCATCATAAAGCACAGTTGAGGGAAAAACGTTAAAGATGACTTTAAGACAAAAGCCATAATCAGCAACTGCACTTCCAGGTATCCAGCCGAGAAAACTGCTCCCACATGTACAGGGCAGAAATGGAATAGAAACAAAACAAAACAAAACAAAACAAAACAAGGAAAAAACATAAATATGCAACAATACGGAACTAGTTAAGGAAATGATGGTGTACATCTTCTACGAAATATTATGGAGCCATTAAGAAAGAATCAGGTAGGGGCACCTGGGTGGCTCAGTCGGTTAAGTGACCGACTTCAGCTCAGGTTATGATCTCATGTCTCGTGGGTTCAAGCCCTGCATCGGGCTCTGTGCTGACAGCTCAGATTCTGTGTCTCCCTCTCTCTGCCCCTCCCTTACACTCTCTCTCTCTCTCTCTCTCTCTCAAAAATAAATAAACATTAAAAAGAAAGAAAAGAAAGAAAAAGAGAAAGAAGGAAAGAAAGAAAGAGAAAGAAACAAAGAAACAAAGAAAGAGGTAGGTGTGCCTGGGTAGATCAGTTGGATAAGCGTCTGACTCTTGATCTCGGTTCAGGTCATGATCTCATAGTTCGTGAGATCGAGCCCCGCATCAGCTCTGCACTGTTAGTGCAGAGCCTGCTTAGGATTCTCTCTCTCCTTCTCCTCTGCCCCTCCCCTGCTCGCTTGCTCTCTCTCTCTCTCTCTCAAATAAACTTTAAAAAAAAAGAAAGAATGAGGTAAAACGTACAACTAACATGGAAGGGTTTAGGGGATAATGCTCCTGATTTTTTAAAGTCATAGAACCCTTTGTATAGCTCAATTTTTTTTATTATTTTAGAGAGAGAAAGAAAGAATACATACACACAAATGCATGTATCTACTCAGAGGTAAACATCAATGAGGCTACACAGGAAACACAATGGGTACATCCTGCAAGTGGGCTCAGGGGCAGCTGGGGCAGGACATTCACTCTGGGCACTTGTGTGTTTTAAATTGTTTACCATGAACACTTGTTAGCAACAAAAGATTATAATAGTAATAACGGAGTCCCTCTAGTGTTTCAAATAAATACAAACTAAATAATTAACGATATGGGACAAGAGAAGACCAAGCGTATACAGCAGTGGAAGAAACTGAGAATCCAGAAATAAAGCTGTATATCTAAGTTCAACTGATGGACAAGGTGCCAAGACAATCTAATGGGGAAAGAACCCCCATTTGTCTCTTCAACAAATGGTGTAGGCAGAGCTGGATTTCGATATGTGAAAGAAGGAAGTTGAACACCTACCTCACACCGTATATAAAAATTAACTCAAAATGGATTGGAGACCTAAATGTAGGAGCTAAAACAACATACAGGTAAATAAAAGGAAATATAAGGGGAAGTCTTTATGACCTTGGCTTTGGCAGTGAGTTTAAAGATATGACACCAAAAGCACAAGCAACCAAAGCAAATGAGGTTGTTTTGGACTTCCATCAAAATTTAAAAGTTTTATGTACCAAAGACCCAATAAAGCAAGTGACAAGGCAACCTACAAAATGGGAGAAAATATTTGCAAATCATACGTGTGACAAAGTCTATGTATCTAGAATAAGAGAACTCCCACAACTCAGTAATACAAAGAAAAATAACCCAATTTTTAAAATGAGCAAAAAGATATCTGAATAGATATTTCTCCAAGGATATATGAATGGCCAATAAGCAAATGAAAAGATGCTCATATCATTAGTCATTAGAGACATGCAAATTCAAACCACAATGAAATACCACTTCATACCCACTAGGAAGGCTATAATCAAAAAGTCAGAGGGGTGCCTGGCTCAGTCAGTTAAATGTCCAACTTTGGCTCAGGTCATGATCTTGCAGTTCATGGGTTCGAGCCCCACGATGGGCTCTGTGCCGACAGCTCAGGGCCTGGAGCCTGCTTCAGATTCTGTGTCTCCCTCTCTCTCTGACCCTCCCCCACTCCAACTCTGTCTCTCTCAAAAATAAACATTAAAAAAATTTTTTTAAGTCAGATAACAAGTATTCCAAAGATATGGAGACATCAGAACCCTCGTACACTGCTCATGGCAATATAAAGTTCCACAGCCACTGTCGAAAACAGTCTGGAAGTTCCTCAAAAGGTTAAACAGAGAATTAGTATATGATCCAGCAGTTCCATTCCTAGGCATCTACTCAGGAGAAGTGAAAATATATATCCCCACAAAAATTTGTACATGAACATTCTTGTCAGCATTATCCATAAGAACCAAGAAGTGGAAAGAACCCAAATGTGCTTCAACTGATGAATGGAAAAGTAAAATGTAGTCCATCCATCAAGGGAACATTATTTGGCCGTAAAAAGGAATGAAATACTGATACTCACTACAAAATGCATGAAACCTGAAACCATTACGCTAAGGGAAATAAGCCAGACACACAAAGCAACATATTGCATAATTCCACTTCTTTGAAATGTTTAGAATAGGCAAATTTCTAAAGATAAAAAGTAGATTAGTGATTGCCTTCAGCTTGAAGGAACAGGACAAGTGAGGACTGATAGCTAGAAGGTAAGAGATGGGGGAGGGGCTGATTAAAATGTTCTAAAAACTATTATGATAGTTACACATACCTATGAAAATTCTAAAAACCACTGAAGTGTGCACTTTAAATGGGTGAGTTGTTGGGGTGCCTGGGTGGCTCAGTCAGTTAAGAGTCCGACTTCAGCTCAGGTCATGATCTCGCAGTTCATGAGTTCGAGACCCGCGTCAGGCTCTGTGCTAATAGCTTGGAGCCTGGAGCCTGCTTTGGATTCTGTGTCTCCCTCTCTATCTGCCCCTCCTCTGCTCGCTCTCTCTCTCTGTCTCTGTCTCTGAAAAATAAATAAACATTAAAAAAAAGTTTTTTAATGGATGAGTTGTATGGTATGTGAATCGTATCTCAATAAAGCTGTTATAAAGAAAAAGAGAGAACCAAAGACAAAAATGAGCAGTGTAGACAGGATGTCACTCAGCAAAAGCAGGTTATCCCAGGGAAGATGTACCTGTGCTGGTTCCTGAGGGGTGGGAGCAGGATTTGACAGGACAGAAGCTACCATGTATTGGGGGGCAGGGGGTACCTCACACGGTGCAGGGTGCGGTGCGGAGAGAAGAGGTACAGACAGAGACCAGTGTGCCTGCAGCAGTAAGCTCATTGTGGAAGGTGTGGGCTATAAAGGAGGACTTGGATGAGGCTGGTACTGAGAGGAGCTTCGAAGTCAGACAGTGGGGCTCCAACAATTGCAGGGCGTGGCTGAAAGTTTGGGGGCCAGGAAGGAACACAGGCTGTGTTTTTAGAGGATGAATTGCAGTGCTATAGGGAGCCCTTGGGAGCGTGGAGCGGGCCCTTGGTCATGAAGTGACAAGGGCCTGTGGCACCAGCAGCAGCAGCAGTGGCATGAAATGAAAGGCTTTGCCTGGCGCTGCCTCGGGAAGAACAGAGGAAAGCGCAGAGTTAAGAAGAAGGAGTTCTGATCTGTAGTTAGTGGAAAAACTTGAGAATACCAGAAACAAGGAAATCAAGAATAGGGTATTTTGAAAGAGCAGCAAATGAGCTGGGATGTGGATACAAAATCCCAGACAAGAAAACGGAAAGAGCCCTTAGGATCTTCTGGCTCACTTCGTTACAGCCACGGCGACGAAGGCCCGAGATGAGTCAATGCACTGGAAGGCGAAGGGGCAGTTCTCCAGCGCAGCCTGCCCATTTCTTGCGCAACGCAGCTGCGCAGAGGGCCAAGGTGGCACACCAGGTGGGGTGTGAGGCGACAGCAGAGCTGAGGTGCAGTGTTCTTCCAGGAGGCGGGGACACGGAGCTGGTACTCAACAGCGAACACAGGCTGCACGGAAAGGTTTGGGTGGTGCGCTGGAACCAGCTCGTGAGAGCTGAGTTTTAAATTTCCAGGAATTTTGCAAGCTGGCTGACTTCATGACAGGAGCTTGAAACTGGCCACGACTGGGGAGTCTGTCCACCACAGAAACTGGCAAATACTACATAGCAGGGTCCTTTCTTGGGTAGAGATCTGATCAGGGAACTTTTACCAGCACACCACGGGGCATCGCTCCCCTCACCCCTCCTTCTGCAAGCGGACCCTGCGAGAGGCCCCAGTCCTCTGAGGGACAGGGCGTGCGAGAGCACTGAGTGGTCCTAG